GAGACCTGACACTGTCCTTGGGCTATTTTATCTGTTCTAGTTTACAGATTTAGAAACCCTTTTCTTTCAGTCAACAGATGAGCCCCTACTAAGTGTCAGGACTTTCAAGGTGCAAAAGTAAGCAAGACAGGTGGAACCCTGTATAACTCTTTCATATTTTAATGTAGCAATAATTAGCCAAACAGTCCCATAATTTATTTCTGAGCGTTTTTTACTTTATTTACTTTGCCCCACATGGCTTTCTTGTATTTATGCGAATCTATGTACTTCCATAAATGTGAATATAATAATGATAGAGCAGCACTGAAATCCAGGAATTCATTTGCTGTTTAAAAAATACTTCATAAAAAAAGATTCTTGATTCAATGTTTAAGAAAAGATCAGTTATTTTTTGTAATAAACAACTTTGAGTATGTTTCTTAACTTTCATTCCAGGATTCCCCCATCTCTTCATATTTTAACCGTAAGTTACAATTGCACTTAGCAATCTAAATACATAGATGGATAGCTAAGAAATAGTTTAAATTTGCCATGTTTGTTTGAAAAAAATACCATGAGTTTAATGTAACCCTTTGCCTCACGCATTTGTGGACCTGGCAATTTTTTTTTTTTAAAGCAGTGATCATTCTATTCCAGCGTCATGGTGAAATATAAATTCTTATAAAAGCGAAACTGTGTTGGTGGGTGTATCTTGCTGTTGTCAGCAGAATCAAAACTACTTGTCCTTTCCAAAATGTTTTATCTTACAGGACATTTTCTTTAAAAGAAAAAAAAAAGTGAAACATGAACAAACTTACGGTGATGAAAGCTCCCTCCCCCTTTGGAAAGCACAGTGGAGGTGGCAGATCTGGCCAGCAGAGAACAAAGGGCCAAAGAGTTAACCTGAGATGGTGAAATAAAATGTAACATCAACAAAGAAAAGGCCATAGATAAATAGTAAAAGGACCAACTCACCACAAAACACCCATTGACGTTTTCCCAGAGTCCAGGCGAAGCGCTGGTGACCGGGTAATGTTGGAATGTTTTCCTAGGGTTAAAAGGAGAACCGGCAGCAAGTCTGCTCAGAATTTACAAAGTGTTTGAATAACACGGACGGTGTTTTGATAACACATTTTTAGTGGGGGTGAAAATAATAGACTTTATTGGGACATTTATATGGGCCCCCTTGGTTGTATGTAGAGGGGAGCAGGGCAGGAGGAAAACCATAGATCATTGCACTCATCTATAACTCACCCCTGTAACTTATTCATATATATGTATATGTATTTGATGTGTAATAGTCTTGTTATAGCAAAATGTTTCTCAGTGTGGCTTTTAAAAGATGAATGCACTGATAGTGGTCACCTTTAAGGGGGGAGAAATGGGTAAAGAGGTCACCTGGCCAGGTTGGCAATAACTTTGTGTTCTCAGGATGAGATGGTGGCATGAAGCTGATATGATTGCTTGAACCAGTAGAGCATAAGATCTTCCATAGGCTCCCACACAGGCTTGGCCTTGGCTTCCTTGTAGCCTTTAAAGGGTCCTGCTTGCCCCAACTCAGGCTGAAAGGTGCAAGATTTGAGTTAATCCAGCCGGCATTTGGGTCTGGGGTTCCAAGGGGTCTCCACGTTTCCTCCCCAGTGTTGATGTTTTTGTTCATTGTATTCCAAGACACTGTCAGTTGAGCCACATAAAACCAGGCACCTTTCAATAAATGTCTCATTTGGATTTCATGAAGCTTGGGGTGTAATTGAAATCAAACAGCAAACAGGCTGGAAGGCGCTGTTATTTGCCCACCCAGTCTAAGGAGGGTGCTGCCTGACATGTTCACTGAAGCCGTGCTTTAGCTTTCTTTCCTGTTCCTATTTCTGGAAAAGAGTGCTTGGATTTTAAAGTTTGGCTGGGATACATGAAAATATTTTTTATGTCTCTTTCCCCGACTATAAGTAAAATGGAGCCAGCAAAAGAAAATCCATTCCAAGTAGGAAATCACAGATTTGCTCATCTATAACTCTCCAGGCATTTAGACCAGTATATTCCATGTGTAATAATAATAATAATAATAATAACGCAATTAGTCAATCAAAACAGGAAAACATTCAATGAGATTTCTTTATCTCTATGTTGTCAGGAAAAAATCTTTAGTTGAAACAGTACTTTTCATTATGTTAAAAAAGAACTTGTAACTTATAAATGTAATATAAATCATGTATATGTTTTCCATGTTCCCAAAATGCCAGGTCTCAGAGCAGTTTTGTGCTAGCCCAAATTTTGATTCTCTTTGAATTCCTCTTTATTTCCCCGTCTGTAAAATATGTTAAAGTTTGGGTAAAATAATAGATATACTGGGGAGGTGGGAAGATGTAAACTGCAATTTCCTGTCCCAAGAGTCAACACTAATCTTGATCACGCATACCGTGTATATATTTAATAATTAGGTAGCACTCAGAATGAACCCACGCGCTTTCAAGACCTTGCTCTGGGGCTGGAATAAAATCAACCCTTTCTGATGTGGCGCGGGGGACAGCTGGCCCGCGTTATTTGCGCCAGAGTGGGTCGGAACGATGCCTGTTGCCTGCTATGGCACTTTGCCACGCGCAGCGCTTCCCTGGCCGCCTCGAAAGCAATTTGAAGGGACACAGAGGCCCGCTTTCTCTCTGTGATAAAGCGCAAAACTGATATCTACCTCCAGCCACCCTATCTCCAAATAACGTGAGATTCCATCTCACCCCTACTTTTCCCTCAAACGTCCTGCAGCTCAGGTCAAGCCTAACGTGGAGGAGCCCGCGAGGCGTAACCAGGTTCCCCAAACCCGAGCTACGTCGCCAAGCTGCCCAAACCGCGCAGCCCCTTCCTTTCCTGTTCTCGCGTCCCCCTCACGGAATCTCCACTTTGAAAATCATGAAGTCTTCAAACGCACAAAGTACTTGAAAAATTCAATTCTTCACGCTTCCCTCGGTCAAAATAAAACAAAAGCCGGGAGGTGGGAGTGGACAGTGGGGGTGATCCGAGCAGAGAGCCACGCCAAACCCGAACTCAACTAGCAGGACGAGATGCTAGGGGCGCTGGGCTGAGCGCGCTCTGGGCCCCCTTTCCAGGGATCTGCTCCCGGGCTGCTCTGCCCAGGACCTGCGGGACCACCGCCCCGGCCCACTCGCTTAACGTGCTCCCTCCCCACTGGCTGTGTCCTGAACCTGAAAACCTTCTCGCGCCCCCGGTTTTCACCACCCCCCAAAACTGGTAAATTTCCTGGAACGTCCGAGTGTATTACGGACCGTCTTGCTCTCTAACCCAGACGTGCCGGTGTTGGTTTATGCGGCTGTGGTTTGAACCTAGGTTGGAAAGCTTAGAGCTATTCTGCACTGGCGTGTGCACGCTCAAAAAATCCTGCGGCCGCCTCATCTGTTGTGGGCTAAGAGTTTCCCGTGTGACCGTGTTCGGTTGGGGAAGCAGAGTCCCAACATCTCAGCCGGAAAATGCGCTCCCGGAGCGATTACAAGCCGCGTCTGTAATTGCTTATTAACAGCGAATATTCATGCTTCTCCTTATCCGCAATGAAACATGCCTCCCCCCTTTTCGGTAATAAAACAATAAAAAAAGACGGCACCACTCTTGACTCTACTGTCTGCGGAAACGCAAGGGAGAAACAGGCAGCTGGGGCAAAAGGGCTTAATTCAGTATCAAACTGATTATTTCACTAATTATTCTACCTTCTGTGGTGCGCCGCAGAGGAGAGACGCAGGGAATCTCAACCGCACTGCTGCTGGGGAACCTTTGTTTCTCGGTGCCAGGCCCCACTGAAGATGGTGTGTGAGGTGGAGGGAATCCGGGATTCAGGGAAACTGAGCTGCGATGGATTTTCAATTGTGGGGAGTAAAAGTGATTGCCTTCTGAAAGCAGGCGTGTTGGCATGAGGGTGAGGGTGTCCCCAGTACCCCACCCCGCCAGGGCTTCTGACTCGTAAGTCGGTCCTCAAGGATGGCAATGTGCTCTTGCTGTCCCCGGAATCCCAAACGCGGAGCGCAAGGTTTCCTCTTCACGAACCCTTCCCAGTGAGTAAAAGAGCAGGACCGAACAAAATGGGGTTCCTGTAGGCTGAAGGCCCGGAAGCCTTCCACCATCCGGAGGAAAGTGTGCCTGAAGCTACAGCCCCCGATGAGGAAAGAGACCTCGCCTCGGCCTCTCTCCAACTCTCCCCAGATCCCCACCCTCAGGGACCGGTGCCTCTCTGCAAGCCTTCAGCTTGCAGAGCCTTTCTCGCGCCAGCCTCTAAAACCTGCTCCCGCCCCCGCATCCTCCTCTCAGAGTGCTGAGATGACTTCTGTGGCAGGAGTGGACCCCGCTAACGCAGACCCCAAACCCTGTTCCCCTAAACTCCAGCAAAATACGGACACCAGAATTGATTCTCACAGTAGGACAGAGTCTCAAAAAAAAAAAAAAAATAGTCTAAAGGTAAAGAAAGTCGCAGTCGACATGATCCAATTAGTAAATGCCTAATTGAATTAGTGTCACCTCCATCAGCCAATAGGAGAGTCCCCGGGCTGTGGGGCCGCGAAGCCCCTCCCTAGCCGCACATATATAAAGCAGCCAATGACAGCCTGCAAGTTTCCAAGTGGTCAACTTGACCCACACTTGGGCGGTCGAGAAGGGCAGAAAGTCTAGCGCTGGTGGGTGGATGGGGACAGAGATCTAAATCCTCTTCTTCCTGGGTGTGAGTGTGGAGGAGGACGGGGGTCCAGAGAGGCAAGAAGGACGTGAAGGGAAAAGGAGAGTGCTTTTCGGTCAATTTCCACCTCCTGCCTTCAAACTCAGTGAGCTTTCCTCGCGGAAAGGACGCTGGGTTCCGGGCGCGCCGGTGCGCGCCTTAGCGGCCCTCGTGCGGCCAGGTGGGTAGCCCCAGCACCGGAGGTAGGGGAAGTTACCTTCCCCTCGGAAGAGGGCGCTGGCTCCCCCATCCTGCCTTTATATTAAGGCCGCGGAAGGAGAGGAAGCAGCCAGCTGCCGTCTGCGCTTTGCAAAGCATGCAGTTAGGGGAGCAGCTCTTGGTGAGCTCGGTGAACCTGCCCGGCGCGCACTTCTACCCGCTGGAGAGGGCGCGAGGCGGAGGCAGCGGGAGCGCAGGCCACCTCCCTGGCGCGGCCCCTTCGCCTCAGAGGCTGGACTTAGACAAAGCGCCCAAGAAGTTCCCTGGCAGCCTCTCGTGCGAGAGTGGGAGCGGGGAACCCACGGCCGCCAGCGCGGGGGCCCCCGCGGCCATGCTCAGTGACGCCGACGCCGGGGACGCCTTCGCCAGCGCCGTGGCAGTGGCCAAGCCCGGGCCCCCGGACGGCCGCAAGGGCTCCCCCTGTGGGGAGGAGGAGCTGCCCTCAGCCGCTGCCGCCGCCGCGGCCGCAGCCGCCGCCGCCGCCGCCACCGCGCGCTACTCGATGGACAGCCTGAGCTCGGAGCGCTACTACCTCCAGTCCCCCGGGCCTCAGGGCTCCGAGCTGGCCGCGCCCTGCTCGCTCTTCCCCTACCAGGCGGCGGCAGGGGCGCCCCACGGCTCCGTGTACCCTGCTCCCAACGGGGCGCGCTACCCCTACGGCTCCATGCTGCCCCCCGGCGGCTTCCCCGCGGCTGTGTGCCCACCTGGGAGGGCACAGTTTGGCCCGGGAGCCGGCGCGAGTAGCGGCGCGGGCGGCGGCGGCGGGGCAGGGGGCCCGGGGGCCTATCAGTACAGCCAGGGGGCTCCGCTCTATGGGCCGTACCCTGGGGCGGCAGCTGCCGGTTCCTGCGGAGGATTGGGGGCGTTGGGGGTTCCTGGTTCCGGCTTTCGTGCCCACGTCTACCTGTGCAACCGGCCTCTGTGGCTCAAATTCCACCGCCACCAAACCGAGATGATCATTACGAAACAGGGCAGGTGAGAGCAGCGCGGAGGGGCCCCGAGGTGAATGACAATTGAGTGACTGTGTGGTCCTGGGGAAGGCCGGGCGTGAGGGAGCTGTGCCCATTCACTCCGCGATTTGTTTGGAGAGTGTTTTTCCGCGCGCATCTCCAATCCGGTGTCCCTCCCGGTCCGCGCACCGGTTTGTGCACGGTGCTAATGTTACAGCTGTTTCTCCATCCCCCCGCCCCCCGCCCCGTCACCCTCACCTGGACTGGCCAGAAGGAGGCGGAAATGTTAATTGGGGCTTGTCCACAAAGCTGGATTTACTAGATCCGCCCGCTCGGCATACAGAGCTGGTCCCTGCATACCCGCGAGGAGCCGCGGGTGGGGAAAGGCACAAAGGTTGGCTTCCTGAGCGCAGTAGATGAGCTCCCGCAGTTTTAGGCGCCAGAGTCCCCACGGGGCGCCTCGGGGAGATGGGCATCGGAGGGTTAGTTGGTGCGGGTAGTTAGTTAGGCAGGCCCTGGAGCCAGACCTGGTGAGGTTCAGGACGTGAGAAAGTTCTGATACCCATCCAACTGCTAACAGTGGGTACGAATGGGGAATGTGAGGGGTGGGTGCTGGGAGACGGGTGCTCAAGGGGAACTTTGAGCCTGACGAGTACCATTTAAAATTTTTAACATGAACAACTGAACGTTGTTTTCTGGTACTTAAATGTAGAAAAACGAATGATTTTTCACATCCTGGAAGAAAAATTAAGAACTTGAGTGGGGAGAGGGTGCAGTAGCACCTCAACTGGGGAAATGCTTACTTTGGGGCAAATTGTTTCAGAAAAGAGATGTTCCCAGAGTTGACAACTCAAGTATTTTGCAGAGTGAGGGGTCACTTTGTGGACCGGTATTCTGTTCGTTCTGTAGGCTTTTCAGTGTCCTACTCTGACCTACCCCAGGTGCCGGCAAACCTGGTCTGGTGTGGGCCTGATCTCAGGTATCTGGATTTAAATCGCTTATCCTGCTTCTGTTCCCTCATTCAGGCGCATGTTTCCTTTTTTGAGCTTCAACATAAATGGACTCAATCCCACGGCCCACTACAACGTGTTTGTAGAGGTGGTGCTGGCGGACCCCAACCACTGGCGATTCCAGGGGGGCAAGTGGGTGACCTGCGGCAAAGCGGACAATAACATGCAGGGTGAGGAGAGAGAAGGCCCAGGCAGGGAGGGGTGGGTGATGAACTCCTGACTCCGAAAACTCACATTTAAATCGAGCACTTGCCCCTCATCTGGGGCCTAGAGGTGTTAGTATGAGTTTCTTGGTGTTGATTGTTGGGATTCTCTCCCTCTGGAGAGAATTGCCAAGTCACTGTAACCATGACCCTACTCTTCCCCACCCTCCCCCACCAATTCCTACTAAATTCTCCTGGGTGGAAAGGGCTCCTGACACTCCAGCCTTCACTTGAGAAAGCCTTCCCCAAGGTTGAGTCCACCCATGAAAACCCAACCACTTTCCATCAGATGTTGCCCTACCAGCTGTAAGAGGCCCCAAATTGACCTTCAAGAGACATCTCCTTTTATGTATTTTGAGGTAGCATTAAGATGATTGCCTTGTTCAAGGAGGGCCGGAAGCACAGGGGCCCTGGGAGGGCTGTCAGTGGAGTCCTGGTGGAGAGCAAGCTCTGGGGAGACTTGTGCCTGAAGACTAGCTCTTGAATCTAGATGTAACAGACATCCCTCCCCTACGTCCATGTGTAATCAGCCCTATCTGCTTGGGTTTTGTGTTTTGTTTCATTTTCTCTTAGGCAACAAAATGTATGTTCACCCGGAGTCTCCTAATACTGGTTCCCACTGGATGAGACAGGAGATTTCCTTTGGGAAATTAAAACTCACCAATAACAAAGGCGCAAATAACAACAACACCCAGGTAGAGTGACAGAGGATGGGGGTGGCTTCTGGCCATAGATCTCTTTTCCTAACAAGTTACCATACTCTTCGCTGTATTTGTAATATCTGCAGTTGTTACCTGTTTGCTCACCTAGTTCTAACCTTTTTTTTTTTTTTTCTTTTGACCTCTCATTTTCACTAGACTTCAGTTAACAGTGAGTTGACTACTAGGAGAAGAAATACTAAAGTCTTTGGGGGACTTAGTAAACTAAGAGGAAAGAGTGTTTGTCAAACACGCATAGCCAGCCAGCTAGGTTTTAAGTTGCAAAAGCAGCAATGAGAAGATCTTAAAAATGGCTATAGAAAAAGGTAACTGTCAGTGGGCGACAAGCAGGAGTCCCATTCCAAAACATGTAGTTTGTCAAGATTTACCTCTAAGAGACTTTACGGATTTGGCAGCTCTTTTTCTGTACCATTTCCAGATGATAGTGTTGCAGTCTTTACACAAGTACCAACCCCGACTGCACATTGTTGAGGTGACAGAGGATGGCGTGGAGGACCTGAACGAGCCCTCAAAGACTCAGACCTTTACCTTCTCGGAAACGCAGTTCATTGCGGTCACTGCCTACCAAAACACCGATGTGAGTGTCCCAAATGGCCCAAGAATCTCTACAGCTAGGTCCAGCGTGATAAAGCACTCAACGACTGACTGTTTTTCTCCCCTCTCTCTAGATAACTCAACTAAAGATTGATCATAACCCCTTTGCAAAAGGCTTCAGAGACAACTATGATTCGTAAGTGCAGCTTTTATTCGTATTTGCATGGTCATCTTTGAACAGGACATACATAACCAGACACTTCCCAGAGAACATTCTAGGACGAGTCTTCACGTTTGTTTGGGATTCTCGGCTATTTTTATTTTTGCATTTCCCCCCCCTTGGCTAATCTTGCTTTAGAATTTTCACGGAAGGGTTTGTTAATTTTTAAAGCAATGTTAAGGGCTGAAAAATGAGGAGCTATTTTTTTTAACATTTGAGTGGAGATTTGAAATTTTCATAATCTGCATTTATATACCTTCCTTTTCATTTGATCCAACTTTTTTATCCTCTGAGGAATAGGTATTATTACTCCCCCTCTTTTATTATCATTATTATTATTTTTTTTACATAAGAAAAACCTAAAACTAAGAGGATGTAATTTTCACAACATTAAACAGCAAGGCCCCACAAGGCCATTTACAAGTGGGATTTCTAATACCACAGTCAGCATTCCTTCCCTGACATTGACAAAGGAGAGTGGCACTGTTCTTCAAGTTCTAGGACTTGCAAAGGTGGATTTTTTTATAGTTTAAATACTTAGTGCTTGGGAAGAAACTTTTTCCGTATGAGCCAAGCGTCGGGCTGAAATGGGCCAGTTCATCTCCTACCTGCATCCCTCCACTCCAGCAGACGAGTGCTCCCAGTACAGCCCACTATGTGAGGCTTTTTGATTTCTGGGAGGTGGTTATTTGGGGACAACATTAGGGGTTTTTTTTTTTTTTAAGTGTTTCTCTTTATATTGTAGCATGTACACCGCTTCAGAAAATGACAGGTTAACTCCATCTCCCACGGATTCTCCTAGATCCCATCAGATTGTCCCTGGAGGTCGGTACGGCGTTCAGTCCTTCTTCCCGGAGCCCTTTGTCAACACTTTACCTCAAGCCCGATATTATAATGGCGAGAGAACCGTGCCACAGACCAATGGGCTCCTTTCACCCCAACAGAACGAAGAGGTGGTCAACCCTCCCCAGCGGTGGCTTGTCACGCCTGTCCAGCAACCTGGGACCAACAAACTAGACATCGGTTCCTATGAGTCTGAATATACTTCCAGCACCTTGCTCCCATATGGTATTAAATCCTTGCCCCTCCAGACGTCCCACGCCCTGGGCTATTACCCTGACCCAACCTTCCCTGCCATGGCAGGGTGGGGAGGTCGAGGCTCTTACCAGAGGAAGATGGCTGCTGGACTCCCATGGACCTCCAGAACAAGCCCCCCTGTGTTCTCTGAGGATCAGCTCTCCAAGGAGAAAGTCAAAGAAGAAATCAGCTCTTCTTGGATAGAGACCCCCCCTTCCATCAAGTCTCTGGATTCCAACGATTCGGGGGTATACACCAGTGCTTGTAAGCGACGGCGGCTGTCTCCCAGCACCTCTAGTAATGAAAATTCTCCCTCCATAAAGTGTGAGGACATTAATTCTGAAGAGTACAGTAAAGACACGTCAAAAGGCATGGGGGGGTATTATGCTTTTTACACAACTCCCTAAAGAGTTATTTTAACTTCGTCAAAATGAGCTAACTTTTTGCAGATGGACTTGGTGGTGTTTTTTGTTGTCTTCTTTGCCTAGGTTTGCCAAAAAGACGTTTGCATTCCACCTTGATGCATCCCGTTTTGTGCAATCCTCTAAAAGAAGGTGCCAAAGCTTTTTAATTGCTGCAGGTAACTGAAACAAGCCTCGCATTTTTTTGTTTTTTAAATAAAATTAATGAAGGACTTTAAAGCGTTTTAAAAATTCGAAGGTTATTCAAGGTTTTGGATTTATTTATTGGAGGCACTAATCATTCAGAGAATTGGGCTGTGAAGATTCGGAGTGCTGAGCGCTAGCCAATGAGTTGAAAGATCTGGTTCTCATTCCTATGTGTAAATCTGTAAGCAAAGAGAATCCCGGAGTGGCAAGGTGTTTTGCTTCTGGAAGAGAAGGGCTGGGCCTTAAGCTTCAACAGGGGACTTTTTGCTGTTACTTTCTGCTAGGGACAAAAAATAGCTAGGCCTGGGAGGTGAGAAAAACCTTATGTGAAGGTGCTGGCTTTACCTGACTTTGATTCCTCCTAGGCTTTCGAAGCAAGCCATGTTTGGCCCTAGTTCAGGACTGTGTCACAGGCTAGGCCTCTGCTGTGGGCTGGGGTGGCTAGTAGGACTCAGGAGAAGGGCGGGGAAGGGAGTGGCCAAAAAAGAAAAAAAAAGAGAGAGAGAATTTTAAAGTGTACAGTTTTGTGTGTGCTTAGATACACTGTAGAATACTGTGGGATATATTGTACAAATAGTCTCCTTACGTGTCTGAGATGATGAAAATTGGTGCTTTGGCTTAGTCAAGAATTCACAGATCACCTGACAGCAGGGCCAGGGGGGGATAGGTTCTCTCATCACCCCGGATATTGGGGAATATTCTGTTTACTTCTTAGATAGTTAAGAATGTATTCAGCTACTCTGTACTAACTTGAAACGTGTGTAAGGAAAACTCCCCTATTTCACCCTCTTTCTTTGCCATCCCCACTACCCAGCTCAGTAATGTGAAGAAACTAAAACCTGATGCCACAGCTCCTATAGGCTTTTTAAGAGATCTTGGATTTTTATGTACAGTCTTAGTCATTTTTAATAAATGTGGTTCATTAAGGGAACAGGCATAGCTCTGTCTTCTGTACTTGGAGTTGTAATCTTTGTTTTAAAGATCTTATTTTTCTTCCCTCTCCACCCTTCTCCAGCATGAAGTGTCCCCCCCCATCACCACCCCACCCCCACCCCCAGGTTCTAGAATCTGTAAGTGGACACTGAGTCATGAGGGGGTGGGGTTGCTTTTGTTTATCTTCTTTTTTTCTTGAAGATGAATGGGTTTATTTCCTCACCCCACTGGGAAGTCTGGACAATGGGTATTGGGCCGGTGGGGGTGGGGGTGGGGGAGAGGGGAGGTTGCAGAGATGCAGGATTGCCTCTGCTAGGCTTAACTCGGCCTGGAAAACCTCGGCCCCCAGCCCTTGGATTCCGGGCCCTGTCTCGGCCCGTGATCACTTCGTTCTCTGGGCTTTTTCCTAGGCTTTCTTGGGGCCACCCGTCCCTGGACCCACGTGGGCTCCCCGGGAACCCCCGCGGCCCTTTGAGCGCCCACGAGTTACTGGTCCCTGCAGTGCGGCGGGAAGCGGGCCGCCCACAGCTCAGCTTCTGCTCCAACCTGCGGCTTTTTTTCTACACGGAGCCCCCAAGCGCGCCCGCCGCCGCGGGCTGCTCGCCTCGGTAGCTGCTGGCCGGGGCGCGTCGCGGGCGGCCAAATTCGGCCAGGGACGCTGGGGACGCTGCGGCGGCGGCGCGGGCGAGGAGCGGGCGCGACACTTACAAATGAGGATTCCAGTCGTCCCGTGCAGCTCCACTCTGCAAACAGCGGCCGGGGAGCCGTTCGCCCTGAGTCTAGCTCCGTTTATTTGGCTCTCCTTCCCCAGGAGGCCGAAGGCCACCCCATCCCCTGGCTGAGCCCTAGGCCCGCCGAAAAGTTAAACCCAGGACTGGGGCGGAGGGCCCTTTGTCCCCCCCTGCCAGACGTCCCGCCAGGCTTATCAGCAGACGGCTTCTGGCCCAGCTTGCAAACCTTTCCAGCCCCTTCCTGACCCTCCCGGGGTAAAGGTCTGGCCGGGAGGGTCATTTTGCTAAACTGCGTGGCGCGGAAATGCAGCTGCTAAGAGGATTAGCTGCTGGGAGGCGAGCAATCAGCCGGGACCTCCTCCTCTTCCGCGCCCAATTAAGGCCGCCAGGAGCCTCTCTCCAGCTTCCCATTCCCTGTACCCTTCCTGGGCCGGAGCTCTTCCCGCGCCGCCCGTGACCTTGGTGGCCCCGACTTTAGCCCCAAGTCTATGACCGTGCCTGTTCAAAAAGCTTTGTCAAAGCCGCCCGGAATTTTACGACGCTAGAAGCGAAAGCTTGAAATCTGGTTTATGTATATTTATTGTGGATGACAGATTCAGACTCTGGCGGGAGGACTCGCAGCCCCCCTAACCTGGTCAGCGCCCCCCCTCCCCCCAGGGACTATAACGTACTGGGAGCAGCGACGGAATTTGGAAACAGTGCTCTGGCCTCTAGAAAGCCCGCAAATGCCAATCACCGCCGGGATAAAGCAGACTCTGGCCCCAGTCTATTTCGAGTCCTGTATATTTTTGCACCGTACAGTAAAAAGAACCTGGTACTTGTGAAAAGTCCCTCACAGTGTTTAATAGAAACGTAAATGGCTGAGTGGCCCCAATTAACACCTTGTGATAAGGCATTCCTAAGATGGAGTGTCAGACACCAAATTGTGAAGAGATGTATCTAATTAATCCTCCTAGGATGACACCGATAAACAAACCTCTATTTAAATAATGATCAAGGGCTCGGCGCCCCGTTTGTTTACATTCTCTGCCAGGGTCCCCGCGTTTGCACCCGCTCAGGCTGCGTTCCCGGCGCAGGGTGGAGACCCCGGCTTGGGGATCTGCTGCTCCGCCGGGATTCGCTTCACCTCCGTTCCTGCTCCAAACAAAAGCACACAGTAAAGCGAATAAACCGCAACGAAAGCCCAGAGGAAAACGAAGTGCAAAAAAGGACCCGACTCTGAGTTGGAAAGGCTGTTGTTTGCCATTTTCCACGCTGTCCTTTACATAGCCATTTTTTTTGGTTGTTCGAGTTTTCTTTTTTCTTTTTTAAGGCAAACAAAAAAATAGCTCCCGCGTAGCTCCTGGACGTCTTTTCTGCTTTGGGAAGAACTCGGGGCGGGGCTTCCCTCCACTCCCCGGCACAAGTTCGCTCCCCTTAGTCCCAGGATTCCTGCTCCTGGGTGCCGAAGCTGCGAATTGCTGGGACCTGGGGTAGCTGTCCTCGGGGTGGGCTGGGGAGCCGCCCACTGGGAAAGGCTGGAAGGGTACGAAAAGAAGTAGGCGATGGGGGAAGCTGCATACCAGCGCGCCAACTGTGAACTAGGGCCGGGGTTTGGAGCCCGCTTGGATTCTGCAGCAGAGCATCTCCCAACTCCGTAATGGAGAGTTTCAAGCTCCAGATCAGCTTTTGGTCCTAGCGTCCTTCTACGGACACCTTTGATTAGCTTTAAACCTGGAGGTAAAGGCAGACTCACAGTCTTCCCTTTTCCTCTGCAGTCTCTTCCTTCTTTCTGAACCAAACAAGTGTGTGTGTGTGTGTGTGTGTGTGTGTGTGTGTGTCGGGGGGAGGGGGGTGATGATGCGATTCTGGTAAAAATTTGCAGGTGTCATGGAAACGCACCGGAGTAAAAACGTTCCCGCATGCCCTTGATTTTAATCGAAATTGAGCCTCCAGTAGGGACAGAAATTAGAATCACTCGTTTTCCACTCGCCTGGATGCTGGCTGCATCCTTCCTTTTTTTCACGTTCGCCCCGCGATGTTCCCCACTAAGCTGCACGCCGACTCCAAAAGTTGGGCTTTCACCTTGCGGAGATTTCGGCGTCACCAGGAGGCGCTTTTTAAAGACAATTTGCGAAACTGTTGGTGAGCCCGATTGAGTCCCCTTCTATGAAATCCCCATCTCCTCCGTGCCCCATCCCTCAAGTTTTTTAGGCTTTCGAGTACGCGAGCTCCGGCCCGGGTGGATTCAAACCCGCGCAATCTGTCGACCTGCGCCTATCCTCGTCCGGGTAGAGGACGAGGCCTGCGCCCAGCGCACACACTTGGCGTTCCCGCCCGCCTGAAACTGAATACCGCCTGAAGTTATGAACATTTTTTTTTTTTTAACAAGACGGGGTCGCTGACCTTGAGGGCCACTGAATTTCCCCTTTTAACGGCTTAAAGGGAAAGTAAACTTTCTCTCCTGAAGGTCCATTTACCCCGTACCCTTTTCTCCTTCGGCCCTAGTAGTCCTTTGCGCTTCGCCAGAGAAGAGCGTCGAGTTCTCCAGGGGAAGGATTTAGCAGAGCCACCTACGGAGCAGGCCCTCAGCAACGGTCCCCAAAGTTTCTGGGCTTCTGAGGGATCCCTGACCCACCCCGAAGCGCGAGTTAGTGCTTATTTTAGGCAGCAAGGCGTGCACCCTCCACTTTAATCTCCCCACCTTCGGGTCTCCTTAAAAAGCCTTAAACTTGCTTCTATAAGCTTGTGGAGGCAGCAGGAGTCGCGCAGCAACTTCTTTAACTTTAGGCTCGGCTCAGCTTTCCGCGGAGTGTCGGAGCGCCTTGCCCTTGGCCTTGGGTCTCCCTGCAGTTTCCGCGCCCGGCGCGGTTCTCCCCTGGGCGGCAAGCAGCCTTCGCCATCTGGTGGCCACGGCGAGTATCGGCCCAGCCGCCCAGGACTTCCTTCCACTCCCGAAGTCGCTGTTTTGTCAGGTCCTGGAGCGTTCTGCAAACAGTTATTTTCTTTATCCCACTCCCACTCTTCCCTTTTAAAGCTTCTTGGTGTGAGGGGAGGAGCCCAGAATGTGGAATTTCTAAGACTCTACGTTCTAGTTCTGGCAGGTGGCTTCAAGGCAGCAATTGCCCTGGGCTTCTTTGAGCTTCATTCATTTCTGCGAAGTGGTACAACACCGACCTCGCCCAGTAGTACCCAGGAGGAAGAAATGAGATTGTAAATGAACTGCTTTGGAAACTGTTGCGTAGCTCCAAGTCTTAGTAGGCATTATTAATTACGGATTTTATACATGATATGTGATGGTAAACTCAAATGCATTGGCAAATGAAAGATTCTTTATTCGTTCAAAAAATTACGGAAAATTTCAAACATACACCAAAGTAAAGAGCAGTGGAACCTCATTTATCTGTCTTCCAGCTACAACAATCATCAACTCATGGCTGCTCTTGTTTCCCCCTATAACCCCCACCTCATTCACAAATCCCAGCAATCCTGACATCTAATCCACAATTATTTCCATACTCAGCCCTAAAACATAAGGATTCTTCAAAAAATATATATATATTCATAATTTATCACACCTACAGAATTAACAATAATTTCTTAATATCGTGAAATACCCAAGCATGTTTCCCTTATTGTCTCAAAGTTTTTGTTCTTCTGTTTTTTGTTTTGTTTTGTTTTGTTTTTACAGTTGGTTTATTTGAGTCAGGATCCAAACAAGTCCCACACATCTGGTTGCTGTGTTACGTAATTCTCTCATTCAAGACATCTTCCCCTTGCTCTCCTCTTTTATTTTTTCCTTACAACATATTGCAGAAGTCTGAGCATTCATT